CCTGAAATCTAAAATTCTAATAAGTTTAAAATTTCAATAAATAATAATTGGCTTGCATTATATTTTAATATTATTTAAAATTAAATTTTAAGATTTTTTTAGATTTTAAACTTTGGACAAATAATATATTATATTATTTATTTATACTCAAGTATTCTATTTTTTATTATTAAAGTTAATTTATTTGAATTTATTATTAAAAGAAAAAGTTAAAATTAGTTTAATTTATTAGAATTTATTACATTAAAAAAAAAGTTTAAAATTAGATTATTTGAATTAAATAAAAGATTAATTTTACATTCATTTTCAGTAAAATTCATCAGAATGAATTTTACTATAATTTACATTATGCATAAATTAATAATTTTATGGTAAAATTCACCACAAGTGAATTTTTACCTTGATTTTTATAAATTTTTTAAATGGTTTTCTTTAAATATACAAAAATGCCACTTTTTTATTTTGTTATTTTTTTAAAGAAAATTTTTCTTTAATAACTTTAAATAATTAATTTTTTTAATAACAATATAGAATTTAATGCTTTTTGTTCTAATTATTATAATAATAATAATTATAAGACAAGTACAAATGCTTTATTTTAACATATTCTGAATTTTTTAATGATAATTTTGCCAATATAAACCTTTTACTATATTCTAAACCTTTTAATATAAACTTTTTGCCATTACCTTTAGAACCTTTTGAGCTACCTTTTGTATCATTTATATTACTATTTGTATTACCAGGACCCCAGACATTACATATACAACTCAGTGGCAACTTTTTTACAGATTGACCTAAATTTCACAAAAAAAAATCAGTTTTTTGCGATTATTTCAGCATCCAGTAGTTCAATTTGTACGAACTTTTTTTTGTTTTGTAGTTCTCATCGAGCTCTACAAAATAAAATTAAATCCGCATGAATTGGATTACTGGATACCAAGATAATTGCAAAATACGGAAAATAAAAAAAAAGCAAATTGGGTTTTCTTTGGCAAAAAGTCAGTTGTAAGTTCTATAAGAGATATCCGGGATATACATGAAGTCAAAATTAAAGCCCAAAAGTAGAAATATTTCGACTTGGGAAGGTCAAAAGTCAAAATTAAAGTCGAAATGGTCGAAATTACATCATAGTCATGTGATTTTTATAATTATAATTTA